TTTTATTATTTTCAACCAAGTCTGAGTAAGATGATTCCACCGCTTGTTCTGAATAAAACCTTAACCCTTTGTCGTTTTGTTTATAAAAATTTTCTATGTGGAAAAAACTGTGTGAACCTAAGACGTTACGTTTATGTCTAAACTCATATAACTTTCTCTAAATATCGCAATCTTTTTAAGATGTCCTTCTTTTAATTTGATTGAGAAACAAAAATCGACAACGTTCTTGAATGATTCGAAATATTTTTTACTTATTTCATACAAGAAAAGTTACTTGTTGAAGAGCAAATTTCACGTAGAATGTCAACATTGTTCAATAATATTTTACTCGAATTTTGACGTCTCAAATAGTATATTATGTATCAAGTTTTATAAACGCCATTTTAGTTACGAGTTTTATTAAGCACGAGCGAAGTGTTTAATAAAACGAGTGTCTAGATAAGTTTATAAAACGAGTTGCATACTATACTTTATCTACGACGACCACAAAGAAGAATTAAAATCCAATTTTATTTGTTAAACATTTGACATCTGTCAAATGTCAACGGAATTAACCTCACTTTTCTCTAATTTATAATAAAGCTAACTTCAGCCCGTGACTAAAATGCCCAAAAGCCACTATTGCTAACTTCAGCCCGTGACTAAAACGCCATAAAGTCACAGCTAGTCAATGTAGGAGCAGATAAACACACTTAAGTCGAGAGAAAACAGGCGCCTGTGATTATTGTAACTTTTTGAAATACGTCAAAACAGCTGTCAAAATATTTATTTCAAAATGAATAAACCAGTCTTTGAAACAAAAAACGTAAAAATTGCTCTTTTTTGGCATAGTGAGTGTATCTAACCCCTTAAATAATGGTCTTATATTTAATAAGGCAAAAAAAAATGCGCTCAGGGAAATATTTTAATTTTTTCATTAATTATTTATTGAAACGATGTAGAATCATTCCCTGTTTATAACTTTGGGGTTCTCGAACTTTACATCTAACTTTTTTAAACCACACCGTGAATCATATGCAGAAAGGAGAAAATTCAAACTACTTGCATCCATCAAAAGATCAAAACTTCTTGCAATATTACACCCTCTTTTTATACTCTCATAAATATTGACTAGAACAGTATTAGAGAGACTCCAGTTTCTATAACTTGGTAGAGTAAAGAGAAGTCGAAACCGTTGCGATATTGCATTGCGCTGTTTTTGTATAATTCTCGGGGACATTAACGAAAATCATTGCCAGTAAAATTCGAAAAGCTTGAGTTTCTATGTCTCTGAGGAGAATAGGAATCCGAAGTTGCTGCACCATTGGACTGAACCCTTTTTTAATAATTTCTAGAGACATAAATGACTGCACCATTCGACAGGGTCGAGTTTCTACCTCTCTGTTGAATATAGAAAATCAAAATAATCCCAGGTAACCAAACGTAACGAAAAAGTGACAGAAATTGTATGTATGATTTCTTTATCGTCACGTGTATAATCGTCGAAACTATATCAATTTTAAACTCAATTTTTTCACAAAACCGCTCACCTGCCGTTATAACGTGATCGTCACGTTAGCGTTATCGTGATTTTAAACCGAATCGACATAACGTTTACGTGACGCTGTAATCGTTACTAAATCAACACGAAAATACAGTTATATTCGATTTTGAATTTGTGACCGTATCTTTAACCAGTGGCGGTTGGTGGATTTTTGGTATATATACCGGTATACCAATATCTCAGTTATTATATATAGGACCCAAACCAAACTTTTATGAGTTTATAATAATATTAAATTGAAGTTTGCGAAAAAAGTAATTTTTTTCAGCCCAGTCCCCTGCCCCCCTAATTAAGATAATGCAAATTAAAGTGGTGCTATTAATAACTCAGTGCAGTTTATCGACAAATTTCAAAATTTATTTCAAATTCCAAGTAGATTTTATACCATTTAAACTTTTTTTATCCTAAAATAAAATTTAAAAAATGATATAATATTTGTAATCTTGGATTTTTTAAATAAATTTTGAAATTTGTTATAAACTATAGTGAGTTATTAATTGCACCACCTTAATTTGAATCATCTTAATTAGGGGGGCACGCTGAAAAACTTAATTTTTCGCAACAATTTTTAATTTTATTACAACTTCATAAAAGTTTTGGGTCCCATGTCTAATAACTAAGATATCAGCTGATATCTTAGTATACCCCAAATCCCCCAGTCGCCACTAGTGACTAGTGACAGCTGTCTTTAACTAATCTGCTCAAGTCTCAGATTGCTGGAATTAGTTCTAAATTTTTACTATAGTAAGCTATAGCTATATGTATATTTTAAATAATTAAATAAGCACAAAACACTGAAATGGAACAGGTTTCAGAAGAATTTATGATTAATTAATAATAATACTTTTAACAAAACAATATATATATATTTCTCAAACCAAATTATAAAAACAATAAAAAACTAATATTTAAATAAATAACTCTAAAAAAATATATTCTTCTTCAAAAGGATAAAAACCAAATAAATAATTTTCTAACGCATATTCAGTCAATATTTTTTCTTCTATTCGACATTTTGCTGTAGGTATTTCTTTTTTCTTTTGCTGAAAAAAGTATTAATGTGAACACTATATATAGTTATATACCTCCTATACATAATAAAGTAAACAGAATTTTTGCATAATTAAGTTTTTAAATCAAAACCACTTAGGTACCTAGGTACTTGTTAAATATTTAGGTAATGTTAAAAGGCATTAAAATAATAAAATGAATGTTAACATAACCTATAATTATTTTTATAGAAAAACAATATGAAAAACAATACTTACAATTAACGCCTTCCAAAGAAAATAATATATAATAAAAACTAAACACAAGCTAATAATTTTTAAATAAACCAATTTCAAAACAAATTAGTTGCACGGGAACACTAAACAGAACAAAATCAGATTAATATACCTACCTAGGTACTTATTTGACAATAATGGCGAATTGAATAAAAAGTTAAGAGGGTAGCCAAAGACACGGTAAATCGTAAAGTTAAAGTCACGGTATACCGTGACTTTTGTTAAAACGTTATAACGTGACAATGAAGTCACGTTTATATAACGATTAATTTAGCAAAGTAAGTCTATGGAAAATCGTGAAAGAATTGGTAAAGGCAGATTCTATATCAAATCGACATCTCCAAAATTATTAATTTTCGTTAAAGATATATAGGTCACAACTTTTTAGTTAAGATATTGGCCACGTTAACGTCACATTTAAAAATGTTAGTCACGTTTGGTTACCTGGGATGTATCTTGTAAGACACCATTGAGTTTGACTTTAAATATAGTCGTGCATAGGTATAGAGCCGAAAAATATAAAAACAAAGCACGATTCAATACAGTTATGATAAAACTTTAAGATTTGATATTCAAACGCGGAGTCATCCTATACACTTCTATAATTTTTCGTTTGCTGTGCATATAATTTATTTTTACATATTAATGTGCATGAGACATTATAGAAATTTGGAAAATAAAAATAAAAAAAAGAAAGCAAAGATTTAAAAAAACAAGCCAAATTAAAAAAAAGTTAATTATAATACAGCCCCACATAATTAAAAATTATTTGGTCTGGAAATAAGAAATCCATATTAAAAAATGTTGACCCTCTGAATTAAATTCTACCATGAAAAAATAGCCAACACGTACTAGTTTTTTGCAATAAATGTAAAATCAAGTAAATATAATACCATATTATGGTGCTTTATTTGAAATGAAAAATCATTTTTTAGCCACACCAGAAAATGTCATGTCATTAAAAAAGTTCTGAAAAAGTTTTAGCTGCAAATTCAAGTTACTTGCACTTTATACAAATATTTTGATGATGGATTTTTCACTTTCACTTTTTTTGAAAGTATGATTTTTTCAAGCAAGGAGCTGTTAATTTGTATTTTCATAAATAAATCTAAACTTAAAAAAAGTAAGGCTTCAATTAAAATAAAAATTTCTATTTTTCTATTTTGTTGGGCAATGTGGTATTAATTTATTTTACTTTTTTTAATAATTTTTTCATAAAAAGAGCTGTTAAGTAATTTGTATTTAACACCTATACTTATTCATGCTTAGTTTTATTTTTTTAAAGTTTTTGTATGTTATTGTTATCATGTTATTATCTGTTTTAATTAATTTTTTAGATAATAAAAATGTTATGTTTGTGCTTTTATAAAATCTATTTTGTTTGTTTTTATTATTATCAGGATGAATAAAATAATTTATTTTAATTTTCTTTTTTATATAACCTTACTTAAATAAATTGGGCAATTTTTGCCATATGTTTTTATATGCAACAAAATATTTTACAATAACAATGATTGATCAATCGAGTTGTAGGCACTAAAAGTCCATTTTTTGTTAGTTAATTAAAATAAAGTATCTCATGAATTTATTCTGCTAACGTCTGCTGAGATTTGATTTGCAAATGTTGTCTTGGTTCTAGAATTAAATTTTTTTATTGTATTTTGTGAAAGAACATACATTATTCAGAAATTCAGGGAATCAGAACAATTTTTATTGGTTTGATATCACAAACATTCTTTGGTTTGATATCACAAACATTCAATAGAGGGCGCAGAAAAATATAATTATTCTTGCCTACCTACAAGGCACAGTGTGTATAGATAGGTAACACAAATTACATTTTAATGGGGGCCACATATTTACTAAATTAGCATTATATTCTACAAAAACAATTAAGACTAAAAATAATGGTATATAATAATACAAAATCGTAAAAATGGTACGAAGTAAAAAAGAATGGTTTAAATACCATTAAAATCATATAAATTCTAGTATTATTTCTATGATTAAAATGGTACGACTGGAAACACTGCCTGGGCTTAGTGCAAGGTTAACCGAGTAGTTCAAATAAAACAACATAGCCAAATTGCACCGTACTGTTGCCAGATTGTGCTAAAATTACTAGATTGTCGAAATAAGGGATTTTAATAAAAACGAAGTAAAATAAATGCATTTATTGACATTAAATAATTTTTTAACAATATTTACAAATTATAGTCAATACTGATATATTTGGTGGAGAAAACGATACTTTCTCATATAGATATTGATAAAGAAATATACTATAATACTTATATTAAAAATATGTACAAAATAAATAAACAAAAACTCATTTAACTAGAGATATCGTTGCCTGAATGTTAAAACTAGGTAACTCGAATTTTTGATTTTGAGTTATCTAGTTTGAAATCATGTGAAAAGCAATTATAATTAAATGCAAGAACTGGCAACGAGTGCAGTAATCTGGAGTCTCAAGATTACTTTGACAAATTCCCTAGTTCTAACATTCAATTCAAGCTAGTAGCTTTATACTTGATTTCAAACTAGATAACCAAAAATCGAAAATTTGAGTTACCTAAAGGTAGCTACTACTAGCTAGTTTAGAGATTCGGGCAACAATATGAACAGTGTTCTTTTCCTCTATTAAAATGGAAGATAATTATTGTCTTAGAAATGTAACATCACGTAATTTTTTTTATTGTCTTGATTTTAGGTAACTAGAAATATTGGTAATACCTATGTATACATAACATCTTTTCCTACTTATAAATATCTTTAAGATTTATCACAAAAATTAAAAGGGCTGTACTTGGTACAGAAATAATATAATCTAGCGATAATATAAAGCTTCAAAAATGATCACACACAGGTTAAATGATCACAAGTAAATTAAAGTTACTAGGCCTGGATTTCAGGATAAAGTATATTAAGTAAGCTAACATAGGAACCTATAAGGAAGCCTATGAAGCCAAATATAACAATCATTACGTCTTTCCAAAGAACCCAGTTGTGTTTCCCCAGCTTATCAGGCCACAGGGTTATAATTTCGATTAGGGGCGGGAAAATAAGTGCCAGAGCACTACTGCTGAATGCTCCTACAAGAGATATTACAGCGCCTAGGTTGGGTATAGCTATAGCCAATGCAAAAGTTATGAAAACCAAGATGGTTCTGGTGGAATATTCAGCGATACGTTTGGACTGTTCAGTGTCGAAATGTTTTTTGATTGAGGGCCAAACTATGTTGAAGGGTACATAGAACTGTAGGCTGTATGATAAAAATATGGCTATTGCCATCATCAGACGAACTGACTGGGCAAGTCTGAAATAAAAAAGTTTATTTAGTATATTAATGTTAATTGAGTAGAGTTTCCAAATTTGCAAACATGCAATAAGGCTTTTTGACGTTGAATATATATTTTTTGGTGAGGAGTTTTTGAGTTATAAGGTGTTTAAAATCGAATTAAAATTAAATACTTAACACTTACATTTCATCGGGCGGTAACAAAAGGGTAACACTTCCTAAAACAGCTTGATCTCCGTATTTTAAATACCCGAAAAAACCTACAGCTGTGTACAGACTAGCCACTACAACCATTCCTGTATTTAGTACTCCATTCCAACCCCCAAAATCTTGAGGGTTTTTCATGTTGTTTTCCAAGGGTAACACCTGTAAAATGAAAAAAATATGTTACAGATAAATAAAGATTAATTTTTGACAACAATTCTTACCATTCCAATACCCTCGAAGGCGTATATAGCCGTACCAAAAAATATCGGTAGCTGACCCCACGTTCCAAAAGCATGCACTGAAGAAGTGTTAGGTAGACCTTGCAGCATGTAGAAAAACGTTATGGCCAACCCCGTACACGTTATAATACTCGCGAAAAGCGAGGCAGGGGTTAAGTATTTCAGACTTTTTACCCAGTTCAGTAAAACCATTGGCAAAAGTAGTATCAGAAGGTACCAATGCACGCTTATGTTGGCAAAATAATGCGATACGACATCGTGTAAGTTTGCTGCCACAAACACGAAGTAAACGCAGCAAAAACCAAGTTGTGTGAGGAATAAGAAAAAGTTTATTATAGTTCTGGAAAAAAAATAGTAAATTTAGGATAAGGTCTGCAGAAAACTGTTTTAAAATACAGTACATTAGAGAGAATATGGTTTTGACGGTCCAGAATATCAAATTTGATATTAGTTTTAGCGAACCCAGCAAATAGTCTGATTATGTAACGGCCCATTGCATAGTTTCGTGGCTTAATAATGGCATTTTTAGCCAAAGCTTTCCTTGTACTGGGCCTTTACAGGAATGTTTTAATAAAAATATTAATTTTAATAAAAGGCTCTCGTGATAAGGTCTTGCAATGGCCTTTTTCAGGCTAATATTTGGAAATTTTCAGTATCAAGTTAATGGGACTTTAAAAAACCATTAAAGTGCCAAATGTTTTCTAAATATAAAACTTATATGAACCTTTAAGGTAGTTATCGTGGTACAATATTGTCAAATTTTTTTAGATTATACGCACCGTATAGTATACGAGCTACAAGCTAAGTGATTCATAATTTTTTCGCAAGACTGTACCCTTGGAGACGTTACCTATACGTAATACTTTCACATATTTTCATAAGTTTTCATCCGGCAACGTCGCTTATGCGCAACCAATAGATATATTGGAGACTGAATCAGTCTGTTTGAATTTACTGCGCAAATATTATCTATACTCGCGTACAGCGTTGCCAAGTTGTTTTTATCTGACTCACTAGTATGTATACTTTTTACAAATTGTTGAACTTTAAAGGGTTATTTATAAACAATTGGACGGTCAAAAATTTTTTATTATTTTTTTTTTAACTCAGCAAAAATCCATTAAAATACTGTTAGTTTTTTAAAAGCTTCTGACAGTTAGTTTTTTTTATAACTAAGAAACTGGTACAGAACTACAGAAAGCGTATACAATCCATGTTAATTATCCAATTTTTAATTGAATTTATCTCGGGTTATAGACGGTCAATCGACTTCAAATTTCAAGGATAATTGTATTGTCATGTCCTTAATAAGTATACAAAAATTTAAAATTTTCTGATGGTATGCCTACAGCACGACAACTACTTTAATTATCCTTTGGTTAACGCCATATTTTTAAAATGACGCCCTGTGTAATTCCTAGTTTTAAATAATAATACCTAATGGTTGTTAGATTTAAATAAGTGAGTATGTGCAATTTTAATTTTACAAATTTTAAAACTCTTATTACAGACAAAATACCGTCAAAGAATTTAGTAGAAAGGTTTAATTGCTAAGGTCAAAATTGGGACAATTGTGAATACAGGAAATTAATAATGGCAAAGAAAACCTGGTTTTCTTTGTTATAGAGGACAATCTACGAAAAAAATCATGTGAACCTATTTGTAAATATATATTTTAATTTTAAATATTTTCAATTTAGTTTAAGGATTTTACTTATTACCTAAAAACAGTTTTTAAAATAAAATTTTTATGTTTTGCTTATACTTACAACACATTGCTTTGTATTTTCTCTTGTAAATTTATGAATGTTTTAGAATTACAAGTACAATTCATGATATTAGAAGTATTAATTGAATCAGTACAGTACAAGTCCAAAACTTAAAATTTTGACAAAATATATTAAAAAATCAGTTTTATAGTTCTAAATGCATTTTTGTGATAATATTTTAACTATTTTATATCTTTTTACAAAAATGTATTTTGAATGTTAAAATTGATTTTTTAAAATGACTTGTCAAAATTAAATTTTTGGATTTGTACTGTTCTTACGATTCAATTAATGTAATGGATAAGTAAAGTATTTATTATGATGGATTAAATGTTTGTTTATATTAATTGGGTCGGATATACCACGATAATTGGACATTTTTATCCCGATTGTCAGAAATTGTATTGTTACGGTAGGGATAACAATTTCCGATTATCGTGGAATATCCTTATCTACTAAATATATACCTACCACATTTAATCCACTATAATAGATACTTAAATCCATTAAAAATTATTTAAATAACCACTATAATATATTTAACACCCCCCCTGCTTAAAATACCCCATAGAGACCTATACAAAATAATCTATCGGGCGCTACCGGATTCAATATGTGCATTTGTCCATGGTTTTTTCCGGATCCCGATAGAAAATGTATAGGAAATTACCTATAGGCACACCATAACTTTTACATTTTCCCTATTGAGACCAATAGCAAATAACTCAATGAAGGATATATAGGGATATCCCTATTGAGCCACCATAAAACATTTGACATAATTTAATTAAAACCTATGGGGTCCTATAGGGGAAAAAGTAATTTCTACATTTATGTGTATTTTCCCCATTGAAACCGATAGCAAATAAATCAAGGGTGGATATCCCCATAGAAACACCATACATCCCGATACAAATATCTATCGGTTTGAACAGGGTCTCTATGGGGTATTTTAAGCAGGACCATATCAGAAACTTTAGATTGGAGCCCTATTTCCCTGAGGAACGTTAAGTAAGCACCGCTTACACGTCACTAACAACTTTGAGGCAAAAAAGATTGTTGAATATCAATTTTATGGTTTTTGGAATCAATTATTTCAAATTTGATATCTACTAGTTTTAGCGTACCGTGCTTAAAATTCATTTTATAAAAATACTTACTTGGCTATTTTCGAAAATCCTTGTAAACAGTCGGGGCCAGTTTTGAAGGCTTGTTCCACCACCTCGGCAAAATTGAGGGCCGGTTTTTGAGTTCTTCTGCATAGTTCGTGCGAGCACTTGACCAGCATGTGCATGCAATGGGTGCACACTGCACCCATAAAAAGTGTACCAAATAGTCCCACGACCCATCCTGCGTTTCTGAACGCGTCTGGCATTGCCAATATACCGGTACCAATGTTTCCTAATAAAGAACACATTTTGTATAGGTGTGGAAAAAAGTCATAGTTTTAATAGAGCTTTTTTAAAGTATTTTTTTACCTTTTAGTAGATGTACCATGGTGTCGAAATTAGAGGTGGGGTGCTCTATATTTCTATTGCATAGGGGATCTTCGCACTCTGTTGCCAGATTTTCCAGATCCAGCGACGTTGTATCGCTTTGGTAATCACTGTCCAAAAGACGTTGTTTCTCATCTTGCTTCATGGTTCTGATGGGTGGTCTGGGTTCACTCTACAAAATTATTTTTTTTAATGTTATATAATATAATATAATAACTTTTATTCTATTGTCTAGCTAATATAACAATAAATAATATAAAATACATTTATCTATTATATGAGCAATATGGTTTGGTAGATAACAATTAAAGGTAAACATATCATTTAAAACGTAAAAATAAAAACACAATAGCGAAAAAAAATAATTGTAAGTCTAGTTTAAAGTTTAAGGAGTAATTTTACAGTGATTTTACAGCGAAAAATATGAAAAACATGCAGAATTCGTACAATATTCAAGTAATAAGAAAATTAAAAAAAAAATTGTACCTCATTCTGCACTTAACTTATTTTCATGCTAAAATCCACTTTTACCATTTTGCTTTGTTTGCAACTTTTCTGTTGTAGATCCTATATTGACTATTATCAGGGGACCCAAACTCATGGGGTATCGCCCCCCATTTAGATTTTTTAATTCCATTTTATGAGATTTTTCTTTAAAAACCTTTTAAGCAAGAGGCCTTTTTCTGTCAAATTAAATGAACACAGAGGATAAAAAATAAAATATGTAAATGTTGAGTGCCATCTTCAAAGGAACGTAGCTCCTTTATAAAGAATTTCTAATATGGGGTTCTTGGGAACTTTTTTCATATTTAACGGTGTATAATTAAAAAAAAATTGATGGAATTCGCAGACAGGGTGTATATACCTAACTCGTATTTATATACATTCTAGATTGTAAATATTGTTTAAATATAAAAAAATTTAAATTAAACCATTTATTTTATTTTTTTTATTTATTACTGGATAGTGGTGCCAAACAGTATTAGTCCAGTCAAACCATCGTTTGCGTGCTAAGGCACTGTTTTTTTCATGAATTAATAGGGGCCTATTTAAAAAGCATAAAACCAAATTTGCACCACCTGACAATTTTTTTTTACAAAGATTGGAAATTTTATTAAAATTAATTTTGCTTTTTTTACGTTTTATTGTGCAATATCCCGTATATCCCCCCCGTCGCCAAGATATTCGCTAAAAACAAAAAATGTATATTTGTGTATTTCTTTGTAAGAAAAAATGGTCAGGTGGTGCAAATTTGGTTTTAAGGTTCTCCAATAAACCCATATCGATTCATACAAAAAGGTCAGGCCATTTTCACGGTTTTATGCCAATTATTGTTATATTTCAACAATAAAAAAGAGTTTAATCAACTTGGCAACAAAAAAAATGGCAGGGTCAAATAATTAAACGTGTCTGATTTTAAAACTAACAAACAACATTCCCAAAATTAGCGCGGCTAAATAATTACAATCAAATGCATGTTTCATTAGAATGTATGACCTTATTATTTGATATTTTTGAATCGAAAGCACAGAGAAGATGCGATAAAAATGTTGGTACAAATTGATAGGGCTAATCAATAGGAAAATTTTTAAAAGTTACAGCAAATAAACAAAGTTAAAGAAAATAAAAATGTTTGTTTGTATCAACAATAAGCAATTTGTATTTTTTTTTGCGAGGATACTGCATTGTTAAGTTGTTATTTTGCGTTTGTTTGTTTTAAGAGTAATCTAAACTGCATGACGTTTAGACCAATATTCTAAAATGTGGCAACATTATACAACAAGAACAGCAACACTTGTACTATGCTCAAGGATATAAAGACTTTCTAGACTCCGAGTTGTGGGCAAGGTTTAAGCACACTCGATTTTTAACTGACCAATCACAATTTATTTAATTTGAAGGAGTTGATTATTCTGTCTCAAGCTAAGCTAAACCCTGGCTAAACCTCCGTAGCCCACGCGCAAAGGAGTCCCGCGCATCTGTTTACTCTGTCGCTCTTGTTGCACTTATGAACGAAATATGAATTGTGGATTTTGGGTATACCGATGTCTTAATTTAATATTAATATTAGATATGGGACCCACACCAAATTTATATGAGTTCATAATGACATTAAATAAACAAGTTCTACCCAATCAAAAGATAACATTTTGCTCGGCCTTACCGCCCCCAATAAATATAATATAAATTTAATTGGTGCAATTTATTATTCACCATAGTTTATCAACAAATTTCAAATTTCATTAAAAAAATCCAAATTATACAGATTTTATACCATTTTAAATGTTTAATATTTCATTTCAAAATTTGGTGTGGGTCCCATTTCTAATAATTGAGATATCGGTATACCCAAAATCCACCAGCCGCCACTGCCTGCCAGCCCTAATTAAGATTATTCAAATTAAGTGGTGCAATTAATAATTTACCAAAGTTTATCGACAAATTTCAAAATTTATTTTAAAAATCCAAGACTTACATATTTTATCCCTATTAAATTTTTTTTAAATTTTCGTAACTGTTAATTAAGATAATAATAAAAATTTAAAATGGAATAAAATTAGAATTACATTTCTTAGACTTTTTAAATCAATTTTGAAATTTGCCGATAAAATTTAGTGAATTATGAATTGCGCCACTTTAATTTAAATAATCTTAATTAGGGATGACAGGGGGCTGGTAACGCGCGCTGAAAAACTAACTTTTTTCGCAAACTTCAATTTAAATTCTGCTTGCTCAGAACATGTCTATTTAAACTCATATAAATTTGGTGTGGGTACCATGTTTACTATGTAGACCACATGCCGCCACCACTTGGCAGTATTAAAAGTTCCACTTTGACATTTGAATAAGGAATGCTGTTAAATAATTGAGGTTATGTATCTGTCAGTTTAACGATAATTATTTTCTGAAAATAATACAATAAATGTTTTTTTGTATAATTTGTGCTACAAAAAATACATATATTGTATTATTTTTAGAAATTAGGACGAATTAGGGTTAAACTGACAAATAAATAACCTCAATTATTTGACAGCATTCCTTATTCAAATGTCAAAGTGGGATTTTTTGATGTGGACTAATTATACTGCCCTATCGCGACCTGAGAATTAGATTGTTCTATCTCCCAAAATTTAAAGAGGAACAAATAGCAGTTTAAAGTTTAATTTATATATATGCAAATGAAATTTTAAAAAGCTGTTTTTCCGTGTCAGATTTTTGAAAGAAAGAATCTCCCAAAACCTAAACACGGAAAAACAGCTTTTTAAAATTTCATTTGCATATAAATTAAACTTTAAACTGCTATTTGTTCCTCTTTAAATTTTGGGAGATAGAACAATCTAATTCTCAGGTCGCGCTATGGTAAAAAAGAATGTATACATAGGTATTAAGAGACTTTATTTCCTTATTTATTTCCGTAAACAATATATTAAATATCTATATCATAAACAATAAGAATTTCTATAAAAAAGCGTTTGCATAATTCTTAATAATTATTAATTAAAAATTGTTATTATTTCGATAAGAATGACCTCAGACATTATTCACTGTATACTAGACTGACGGGTGATATTTTATCGAGAAAAAATTACAAATTTTATAAGGAGAAATATTTAACATTTTAACCCCTTTATCAAGATAACATGGCAAAACGCATTGACACACTCTTTTATTTGCAAAATACGCATGAAATCACGTGCAATAATATTTATTTCAAGCAAAAAAATACTTCGTTTGAAAAAATGCGTCCCCTTTTTATTTAATTTCAGTAAACCTCGGTGACAAATTTATTGTAGTTACAGAATATTTTTAAGATAAAACTGTCTTAACAATGTTAAATGGACCTAGATAAAACTATAACATTTTTATTAGAAAATAATAAATAATTAATTTTTAATAAATCATAAAAAATAAATATAACTTACATTTTGTTTAACATTAATGGACCCGTACTCCTTCATTGTAAAAATTTAAAAAAAAGAATAATAAAATTATACTTAATTTGAAAATTCAAATTTGGCACTTTTCGTCTGTTTGGTTGTAAACACTGGCACTGCGTGAGTGTGCTGGCACTACTGATAATGCTACCAACCTCCCTCGACTTTTTAGATGATTATACAGTGTGTTTCCCCCTCCACAACTATTTTGTTTCTATGTATCTTCGATTATTAGTAGCTTTGTTATTATTCATTATTAAAATAAAATAAATGTGTATATCTTTTTGTGTGAGTCATGTCTTCTACGATAAAAATAAAAGCATATGACCGATTTTTATGAATGAAGGAGCGCTGTGCGTATTATTGTTGATATACCCTTATATTATGAACAATTTTTTTTTATTCATTTAAGCTCTGTAAATTCCACGATATTATTTGTATTTCAATGAAATTTACAAGAATATATGATCATAGTTTGTTGGTATACCCTTAAATTTCATCAAAATTTATAAACTTATGTAGAAGATATATAGCTTTGATGCCGATAATATTTATAACGATTTTGGAATATTTCGGCCCTGTGCCTTTTACAAGAGTTACGTATGATGATTTGTTTAGGGTATATAAACAAAAATACGCTTTTTAAGGCGTTGTTGATTTTTTTGTAAAATAATTATTAACAATTTTACAACATTAAATTTAATGTAGGTAATTAGAATTAATATATTATATTAATATTAGATTATTAAATAATTTATCAAAGGTCTGTAACGTCTACAAAAATATTTTGATCTAAATCAAATTTGCATGATTTATTGGTCGTATTTTTGTCAGTATACCCTGAACATTTCATCAAAATTGTAGAAGTTTTGTAGAAGTTGGGCAATAAAGTTTATATTATATTATTATTATTAGAAGTTACAGAGCGTTAAAACCGTTATGCTTTTTAGTATCAAAGTTGTTTTTAAACGCGTTGCAAAATTTTGATGGTGTACCAAACAAAAACACGCTGTTATCGAGACAATTAATCGAATTTTGGTAAATTAATATTAAACATATGGAATATTGCAAGACTGATAGCCTTTACTTTTATTGTTCATTAAATTATAACCTCCATACATAAAATGCATATATCTTTGTATTTTTGTCAAATTAAACGAACGTACGTAGAGATTAAGTAATATTAATTAAATAGGAAAACTTTACTTAATAATTATGGAAATCTTCCACACTATAGACTCTATAAAGTCTATAGTATAAAGTATATACAGTGTAGACTTTTTAGTATTCAACAGGCTGCTAAGGCCGGCTTTGTAAAAAAGCATTTCAGAGAATCTAGCAATAGCATGCACTAAATATTTACTAAGTTCAAATCAATAGGCCATTTATCACATTATAGTTACCCACTTTAATATGTTTTATTGTTATAAAACTGTATTTAACAAATAATGAATACATAGTCTGGGAATTTAATTATTCTTATTTCAAATGTTTAAGGCCAAAAGGCCGGTCGAGGAATTTTCCTGATCACAACCCATTAAATGTTATTGTGTAATATTATTATCAATTAATAAACATCATGCTCCAAAACAAATACCACCTAGTCGAGGGGTATTATTCCTATTTTCTAGTACTACTAATGACCCAGTGGAAAATTTTTAGACCACAGTTTACCAAAACACCCTGTTTGTTTAAGAACAACAACTTTAATTGCTCTCAAAAGGGTAATTGCTTTAGACAAATTTAAATATTAATTTTTATGGTAGGTATATGTACTTATAAAAACACGATCACAATTAATTTTGTAAAATTTATGGGACTTTGAAAAAATCCCAAAAATTATGTTAAAACAAAAACTTTCTTTTAACAGTACTTTTTTAGGTAAAAATTAATATAATTAAAAATCTCCATAAAATCCACGGTTCAGTACTTTTCCACCATCATTTTAGGTAATAATTTATCCCCAAATTTTAAAAAGGCTCCATTATCTTTTATTTACCTGTAGGTAAAAATGGTTGTTAAATACAAGAAATCACAATAGATGTCCTTAAATGCCAGTTTATTGTTCTGTATTTAATAATATTATTTAAAGACTCCATTTTATTTTTGTTTATGACCTTTTGCCTAATCTACATACATTAATATTTTATTGACAAGAAATATCCAGTTTATAGTAAGTATCTTACAACAACATTTATACACCTTCTTATCTATATGTATAATGTTTAAATAAAAATTGTGCCAATTACCAAAATTAAAAGGCTATGGAATTTGTAAACATTCTGTAGTATATGAAATCTTTTTAAAATACGTACTTAAGCTAGACTGTCTTAAGAATTTACTAGTACTAGTTAATTCATAAGACAGTCTAGCTTAAGGTTGCCAACCGTCCCGGATTAGGCGGGACATTCCCGCAATAGCGGTGTCTGGCGCCTACGTGCAGCGTTCTTTGGGGCGCCCCTTTTATATTTAAATATAATACATTAAATATTTTAATTTTAAGTCCTAAATAAACTGGCAAAATGTAATTGAAAATGTAAAAAAAACTGCTGAAATTAAGTATAAAAAATATTTATTAAATTACCAAACAAAGAAAATCAAAAAAAAAAAATAGATAGTAATAAAAATACTCTAAATAAAACAAAAACAGTTTTTTTTTAAACTTTATAAACAATATAATTGAGGAGCATCCGTGCAAAACCGGCTATATCCACTTTAATAAAATGTTGGGAAAATGGCAAAAACTCTCGGTTTCCTGGCCTTTACAGATAAAAGAAAAAGCAAACTTGAGTTTTGTGGGCTTTGTGGTACTTGATTTATAAGACATACTTTTGTTTTCAAAAACTTTATATTAAGGCCAAAATTTCAAAAAATGTTTTGTATATAGCCGGTTTTGCTCGAAAACCGAATAAAATGTGAAAAAAAACCTTTATTATTCAAAAATATTAACAAAATAAATTTAGTGCAAACATGAAAAAAACAGAACAAATTTTAGTAGTAGTATCGACATATCCAAGCCACATATTATTATTTATTGGATATAGCCGGGTTTGCTATAAAAACGTGGATTTGGCCGGTTTTGCTCCTAAAGCTACCTTTTAAATGTGATTTTAACATGGATATAGTCGGATTTAAACAGAATTCTCTTGGTTGTCGATATAAATGAACCCAAAGATGCAAAATCAAAAAAAAAAACAAAAACTGAATAAAATGGATTTAGCCGGTTTTGCACGAATGCTCCTCAATTGGTTTTTAGTGACGTACTCTCCATAAATGAATTAGTCAAAAATGACTAGTTTTTAAAGTGAAAGAGCATTCACTAATAACTGTAGTCCACAGCAATTTGTATCCTGGACATTTTACAGCATAATATTATGTAAAATTGTCCCCTGAATCCGAAAAGACCGTCAAAAATTATAAAAGTATACTTTCATATAGAGCAGTTTTTGAGATATGGTATATTCCATATAATATGGAAAATTTACTATATCTCAAAAACTTTTCTATGTACTTTTATAACTTTTGACGACATTTTCGGATTTAGCGGACAATTTGACGTAGGAGTTGACTGCTAAATGTCCGGGATACAAATTGCTGTTGACGATAATTACACTGTAGGGAGGTGAAAATATCACAACTAGACTTTCGTTCACGTAAACTTAATTTTTGGTCGTAGATTACAAATCCTTACTTGATTTAGCAGTATCAGGTCAAAATTCAAAGATATTGGAAACACCCTGTATTAATTAAAAAAAAAATAATTTGGCTGGACCCACACATGTGGTGATGCATCAGTTCCAAATTGAAAAAAAAAACAAATTCTTGCAAATTTTTAAGTTAATTTGTCCCTTAGGGTTTTCCTTAGACTATTTCCCTCGTCTTAATTTCCACCAAACAAAAACGCGCAATTTTGAATTACAAATGGTTTCTAGGTGGAAAAACTGTGTGACAGCACCTGTCAGCAGTTTTTTCGAGTTTACCCGCGGCAAAACTTGACAGCAGCTGTTGTCACCAAAAATTGCAATTTATATTTTAATTGTACCACAAATAATTAAGTTTGTAGTATTGAGTATGAGTATGAGTATAAGAGACGTATAACCAGCCCCATTTCCTCTTGACTCTCGAACCCCGTACAGGCCTATGTTTACTTACGCCGATTTTTGTTCTTCCCCAGCAACTGCACGGCTTCACCCGTGTTTGCTGGGTGCGAATGTCCATTGCGTTACGTACTGTCCCCTATTTGGGGCTCGAGAGCGAGAGGCGAATAGTTATAATAGCCATTCCCGGGTTCGCCGAGCCTATGCTATACGCTCGGTGGGGTATGGATGAGGGACGGGAGGGAGTTGGTTTTTGGGGGACAATTACGCCGACTTAAAACTAAGTACGACGCGGAATCCCCCTAGACCAGTCGATTAGTATTACTCCAAACATTTGGGATTACTATTTGGAGTTGGGGAGTTGTTATTTCGCTGCAGGGGTGTAGTCTCCTAGTCGAGGTCTTTGACTTGTTCGTTATTGTCATTGTCCGTGTGCTGGTCAGATAGTTCCTGCCCTTGGTAAAGTGTGTCAGTTGTTTTTAATAATTTTTGTCCCAAGCACGTTTTGTGGTAGAGTTCCGTCTTTGTTTATCAAATTCCAAAGAATTGCTTTATTCACTAGTCAAACAAATCACAAGCGCGATTATTCTGTTGTCTAATGTTTACGAATCTCGAGTTTGGCTATTAGGCCCTTTTTTTAATGTGTTAGAATTATGTGATCAATGTTAGTTTACTCTGTCAGTCCAGTGTTTATTTTCGGTCTCGATTGGGACCGCCTTACGCATTTGCTGTTGACAGACTTATTGCCCCACACTGCGTGCCCTTCATAGGTTTTAAAGATATCCCAATAAACACTTTAACGATACCTATCACCATTAACATTGCCCATGTAAGAATTTTTAACACTTTTTAATACAATTTTGCAATGATAGTAATTAAAAACAAAACAATTGTTTAAAGAGTAAAATATGATCTTAACATAATCATATTTTAAAGTTATTTTAACATTTCAAGTAAAATAATGTTATGTTTAATAAAATGAATACGGGCAATGTTAATGGTGACAAATACTTTTTTTTCAAATTTAATTTAAAACTAGCTTAATACAAAATAA